TATTCCTTCACTCAAAACCCTTGAATGGCTTCACATTTATCACAACATCAAATTTAAATTTTCCCTGGCTTTCAGTGCCCTCCATAATCTGGCCCAGCTTGCTCATGCATCCTTGTTTCCCCTAATACCCTATGCTCTGCAGGCTGTCCCACTCACATTTTACATAGCCTGCTTGTTCTCTTTTTTGCTTTTGACTTGCTCTGGAATGTCTTCCCTTTTTTCTCTTATATTTTCAAGATGCCTCACTTTCCTCCTGAAACCAGACTGCCACCATTTCTCATTGATTTCCTCTGAACTCTCAGAGCATGTAGTAATTTACATAATTCAGAACTATAGCAACAACATTCTGTGAAGAAAACTCTGCAATAATAGGCTGATAATTTAACTTTCCCTAATCCAACTGGATATTTTCTTTTTTTTTTTCGACTGGATATTTTCTAATAAAACTTTTTAAAATATAGGCTGGGTGTGGTGGTTCACACCTGTAATCCCAGCACTTTGGGAAGTGGAGGCAAGAGGACTGTTTGAGCCCAGGAGTTTGAGACTAGCCAGAGCAACATAGTGAGACCCTGTCTCTATCACAAAAATAATAATATTATTATTAAGTCAGGCATGGTGTATGTAGTTATAGTCCCAGCTATTCAGGAGTCTGAGGAGGATGAGTTGAGGCAAGGACGTCAAGGCTGCAGTGAGCTGTGAACATACCATTGCACTCCAGCCTGGTCAGTAGAGCCAGACCCTCGTTTGTTTGTTTGTTTTCCTTTTCTTTTTTTTGTTGTTGTTTTTTAAAACAAAAACAAAAAACTTTTTAAAATCTTGTCTACAGTATTTATTTCATTCACATTTTATTTTGTTGTCCTAACCAATATGAGTGCTTCTGGAGGATAGGGACCGTGTGTCTTCTATTTCTTCAGTAGGTCCACAATGCTAAGCACTTTGATTTTATGAATATTTTCTATGTGCCTAGTTTTTCTAGGTGCTGGGAGATAGTGTGAGCGCAGGAGGTAGAATGGATAAATTCCCATCCTTCTTGAGCCTATATTTCAGTACATAATATGCAGTGCTAACACTTTACATTTGAATTACATTTTGAGGCTTCTGAACTGATTACTGTCGTCTATGAAATCACCTCCTTTGATCCTTCTATCTCTGTATGCTAGGTGAGGATTATAATCCATTATGTGATTGTGTAAAGTTACACAGTTAGTATGTACAGCTTGAGACTCAGACCTTAGCCTCCTAATTTTATTTGGACTTGTGTAATTTTGACCACCTCTGTTTCTGAAGCTTTTCTGATGAGTGCTTAAGTAGTGGGAATCTGGACATTCATTTTTGGAGGTTTACATATAGATCTTGGTTACTCACTGTGAGCCACTTTGCCTGGCCGATATCCTAACTCTTATCAGTCAGGATGGAGGGAAGAGGCATCTACTTATGAGATACACAAAATAGAGCCTATGGATTTTGATGCCTGATGAGATGTTGTGGGGGAGTTTATAGGAATTCTTACTATTTTCCAGGACTGTGCCAAGCACTTCTACATGGATTTCTTCATTTATTCTCACTGAAGCCCTTTGGATTTTTCTGCTATTATTGTCTTCATTATAAAGATAAGAAAATTGAGCTTCAGAAAGTTTGATAACTGCTTATAGTCACAGAGCCAGTGCATATTGTTATTCAAACCCCTAATCTATCTGACTTCTCTAAAGAACACTCTTACCCACTCTATATAATACTGCCTAACAGTTTCCAGGTTACTGACTTGATCAATCAGGTGATTGATGGTAGTGCTGGAACAATGTTAGGGAAGATGATTTCTGTTTTTGGGCATTTCAGGTTGCCTTTGGGACATTGAGGTAGAGATCTCTAGGTGGAAGCTGGATCTAAAATATATATATATATATACATATATATATATATATACATATATATTTTTTTTTTTTAATGAGACAGGGTCTCACTCTGTCACCCAGGCTGGAGTACAGTGGAATAATCACTATTCACTTCATCCTCAACCTCCTGGGCTCAGGTAATCCTCCCACCTAAGTCTCCTGGGTAGCTGAGGACTACAAGTGTGTGCCACCATGCTAGCGAATTTTTATATTTTTTGTAAAGATGGAGTTTTGCCATGTTGTCCAGGCTGGTCTTGAATTGCTGAGCTCAAACAGTTCACCCCCCTTGGCATTCCAGAGTCCTGGGATGATAGTTGTAAACTACAGTACCTGGCCTGAATCTAAAATTTAATCCCAGTTGAATGGCCTGAGCTAGATGGATATGCTGCTCTGGTAGTCTTTAGTCTGTAGGTGGTTATGGGGCTACCACCTGGCAAATGGGCTGGGCGTTACTACAACAAAGGTAGTCAAAGGCTTAGGAGTATACATGGCCACCTAAAGAATGTACATGTGTATAGAGAGTGAGAAAAGTTATGTCTTTCCCACAACTGAATCTCATTCTCTACACACACATGCAATGTCACACTTTATTCTGGACATTCTCTACACACACATGCAATGTCACACTTTAATTCTGGACATTCTCTACACACACATGCAATGTCACACTTTAATTCTGGACATTGTTTTCTATAACATCTCAAATCTCATCTTACTCTCACCAAGACCAAAAAAACAGTTCTTGTTCTTTTGTATCTGGTTAGTGGTAGAATGAGATTAGCTATAAATGGTAGCTGTATTGTCCTTTTTCATTTTACTTAGGTCAGAGAGCAGAACTGTAGCTTGTTTAGCAGTGAAAGCTTACAAATACAAATGAAATATGGAAAAAGAGAGCCAAAATCCCATGAAGCTCTATTATTAAGCATTTAAGATTAGTAAATGTTCACAAACCCTGGCAGCCTCTAGAGATGTGTACTTTATCTCTCTGTAAACAGTGGTCTCAACCTGAAGGAACAGGTATGAAGGAACATGTTTTATAACAGAACTGAGTGGTATCTATTCATGGAAAGTAGCTTGGGAGTTTATTGCATTCCTTGCCTTTCCCCCTGGGTTTATAGTGTGGTAGATTACATATATGAGAGTCTGTCCTTGATCAGTATGTGTAATGGAACAGGACAGCAATTCAGATATTAGTTGATGGTGTCCTAACATCAGGGAAAGTATGTTGATTGCTTATGGTCTGCTCTATTTGTGAGTAAAACATAGACCTGGAGGCTTCTGCTGCTGCTCCAGGCCAGGGAATGGAAAGATTTGGTTGGTTGCCATTCTCATTTTTTTTCCTTTGATTCTCTGAAACAACACTCTGGCAAGTGATTGGGCCCACAGAGACCAGAGCCTGTACATGGAGAAGAATGGACAGAGATTATATTGTCTTCCTTACTTTATCTTGTGAGCCACTTATCTCTTCCACAGGGAGGACAATGTGTTAACTTGAGATAATTCTGGCATGCTGTCATCTTTGGGGGAGTCATAATTGCTGTGGTCATTTTAGGCAGCTTCAAGGGAGTTGAGTTCATTCAGCTTCAGTTACCTGAACTGAATTCACTTACCTGAATTGATGCTTTCATGAAATGGAATCTTTCCAAGTGAAAGCTTTGATTGAAATTTCACTGAATCGTTTTCATGAGATCACTTATGGTCTCAAGTACTTTATGTAGAGGTGCATTGACTGTGACTTATTGGCAACTTTTAGCACCCTTGTCCCTCTGGAGTTTTGGAATGCTATTTGTGAGGTTCATAACTTCATAAATATTTATTGAACACCTACTACCTGCCAGGTAGTAGTCTAGATTATGATAGAGTATATAATAAGGAACAAGCTATATAAGGTCCTTTCTCTCTTGGAGCTTACTTTCTTTAGGATATTAGACATTGAATTAGGCTAGTTCAGATAAGATAGTACTTAAGAAAGATCTGTAACAAGTTCTTTTGGATGTGTCTAGTGTCCTTCCCTATTGCATGTCCAGATCTTTCTCATCTTCATTTGAAGCTGGCTCAAATAGCAGCTTCTCCATCATATCCTTATCTGATCCTTCCAGCTGATCTATTCTTCCCCTCTTTGAAATCTCATGCCTATCAGCAACTTTCTTATGTCACCTTAAAATTTTTTTCTACTTGTTTCATATGTTAAGTCTTCCCTATTAGACTATAAATTATTGAGGGCAGGTCGGGTACAGTGGCTCACACCTGTAATCCCTGCACTTTGGGAAGCTGAGGCGGGTGAATTACTTGGGGTCAGGAGTTGGAGACCAGCCTGGCTAACATAGTGAAACCTAGTCTCTACTAAAAATACAAAAAATTACAGGCACATGCCTGTAATCCCAACTACTTGGGAGACTGAGACAGGAGAATTACTACTTGAACCCAACGGGGCGGAGCTTGCAGCAAGATGAAATCCTGCCACTGCACTTCAGCCTGGGTGACAGAGCAAGACTCTTCTGAAAAGAAAAATTATTGAGAACAGAGAAAATACTCTATTCATCTTGGTTTGGGATATTTCACATGCAGGCAGCAGGATGTCATGGGGAAAAAAACACTGAACTTACAGCCATAAGATGAATTGAATACTGGCTTCTCTGTTCACTGGCTGTATGACTAGGCAAGTCATTGAACTTCTCTGAAACTAAGTTTTCTATCTCTAAGTGTGTAGTAATCATCCTTCTGTTCCTGAATAGTTGTCAGGAGGCCCAAACTGAGATAATATATGGGACTATCCTTTGCAAATTCTAACTCTACACACTGTAGCATAGCAAATATTCAGGAAGTATTTGAATGAGTAAGCATTTACTTTAGTGAACACCTTTTCCTGAGCAGTTCTCTTGCTTAATGAGGTCTTTTGATTGTGTAAATATGTTAGACTACTTATCTGATTTTTTTGTATTGCTCCATTTTGCAGATGACGTCTAATTTTATTAAATTATTCTGTTCCTAGGATTGGCATCCTCTTCATCCACCTTTGGGTGACCAGGAATTTTCTGTTTTTTTTTTTTTCTTTGTAGGTGCTATGTAATATTTAAATAACAAATGACACTTGATTCGTTTCAGCAGGTGATACATTATGGCTGACATGCAAAATCTGGTAGAAAGATTGGAGAGGGCAGTGGGCCGCCTAGAGGCAGTATCCCATACCTCTGACATGCACCGTGGGTATGGAGACAATCCTTCAAAAGGTAAGCAGTTCATAGCCCAGCAGAATGCTTTCTTCGAGTGTCTTGGTCTGAAAATTTTCTATTCTCTCCTTTGGAGCTAACTTCCCAAAACACTTAATCTAGAAAGTTTATCTTTTGTAATTTTATTGCTGTGAACAGATAAGAGAGGAAATGACTTGTACACAGAGGCCTGTGGTTAAGCTATTTTAACACAAGAACTTCCTGCTTATGTAATATTTCCTGTTCTTTCTTGGCAGAATGACTCCACTGTAAGTCAAATGACAAGTGATAATAAAATTCCTCTCTCCAAATGACTGGCAAATTGGCCATTTTGCACATGTACCAATTGAAACATAGAATGTTAACACTAAAAGAAACCTTGGAGGATCATTTTGTTTATTTTCATTTTATAGATAAAGAAAATTAAGCTCGGAGAGGAAAAGGGATTTAGTTAGGGTCACACAACCAGTTAGTGGTGAATTGGATAGAACCCAGGTTTCCCTACTCCTGTTCCAGTATCCTCTTGACCTTGCCTCCTTTTTTTTTCATTTTTTTTCCATATGCTGCTTACACAGCACCCACTTTCACATAGAAGCACATTTTAAAGCTCCTTCTGATGCATGGCTGATTCTTCATGGTGTGTTTGTCTTTAGCAGGAGCAGCTCCCTATGTTCAGGCATTTGACTTGCTGCTTGCCGGTCCTGGGGCAGAGTACTTGAAGATCAGTAAAGAGATTGGGGGAGACGTGCAGAAACATGTAAGGATGTTTTGCCTTTTTCCCCTTCTTTTAAGGATTGAGGGCTTTCTTCAGTCAGCCAAGGAGCTCATCCTTGGTTTAAGAGTTCCTTGAGAAGTTCCTCTTGGTTTGGGGCATTACACATGTTCTTTTTCTTCTACCTGTGCTGAGGAGTTCAGTCCAGCCATAGAAATGATTCCTCATGTTTTTCTAGGCCCCTTGCTTTTATCACATATTTATACAGAGAGCTTACTTGGTATATAAAATATGGTTCTGTTCATCTTTGTAGTGAAGAATATGCACCAGTTTGATCCCAATGTATTATATAATCAAACCTACAGTGGCTTATTTAAAGGAGTCATTATCATGACTTAGCATTTATAAAACTATGCTTGATAGTTATTAGTTATGCTAATGTGGGTTATTTTCACACTTACCCACAGCAAGAATATGAAGTAGGCAACGACAGGTGCCTTTCCACCCACCTTCCTTTATGCCTCACTACCACCACCACCCCCCAGCCATCCCACACTCACATATACATTCTGCCTCTATTTTTGGGACCCAAAAATATTCCTGCTAGTTCACGGAATGATCTCTTATTAAAAGTAACCATGTTTGGGATCTTCCTCACCTAAACCTTTCACCAAGACTGGCTGCTTGGCTTTTGGAAAATCTTATTTTGAGCCTCTCAAATACCATCTGTTGCCAGTGGTCTTAGCTCTAGAGTGTGGGACTGGGACTTTAGTAAGGGTCTGGAGGCTTGCATTTTTACTTTACACAGTTCTATAACATTTGAAAAAAACCTTAAAACATTTATCATTTGTATTTTAAAAATGCAAATCCAGAAAAAATAGATTACTTTCTTCGAATTTTTTGTATTTTAATAATGCTTTAGTCTCATGTTTCTTAAATTCTTTTGACTGTGAATGACCCTTAGAAAGAAAGAACCTATTTATAACTGAGATAAAAGTTTCACAAAATGATATTTATTTTTTTTCCATACATATTCTGTTTATGTAGCAAAATGATATTTATACTACTCTGCTGTACTGATTTTTTTTTTAACTTTTTATTTGGAAATAACTTTAAGTTGGTGCACTACACTCAACCTTTTTTCTATTAAGCTCACTAAATTGATTTTGTTATTTATTAATGGGTCATGATATCTAGCATTTGAGAGAAAGCTTTAACCTAAAGGAGCAAATACCTTGAGAGTTTTAGGCATAAATTTAGGGCTTTGCCTTTATTCCTGTCTCCAATTTTTGAGAAAAGAAAGGGTTTTTTTGTTTGTTTGTTTGTTTTGATGGTTGGTTGTGTGTGTTTGTTTTTGTTTCTTTTTCTTTTTCTTTTGCCTTTGTGAAATAGGAAGGACTTTTCACCGCACAGTATCACAATGCATGTGTAGTAGCTAAGATAACTTCATGTAAGGCCAGGTGATTATCTGATTAACTTCATTTCCAGCTCTGGATTTGTATCCCTGGTGAGTTCCAACAGGAACAGTAGTATATGTAATTCTGCTATCAGTCCCTGGAATCTGGAATACATGAGGAGGATAAAGTGAAGTGCCTGGGTTGCTATCACAGTACATGAAAGTAGAGGTTTCAGGTTGTTCTTATCAAGATCTCTCCAGTTATAATGTGTCATCAATAGCTGATTCTTCTTTCTGGCAGGCGGAGATGGTCCACACAGGTTTGAAGTTGGAGCGAGCTCTTTTGGTTACAGCGTCTCAGTGTCAACAGCCAGCAGATGTAAGTTCACTACTAGTTGGTTTTATTTTGGTTTGATGCTCAGGATGAGTTGAGAGATTTTTGTTAAGCTATTACCACATCTTAAAATAGACCTACTAGGCTCATGATGATATATGTTCATACCAAGTTCCAGAGGTAGAGCCAGACTTCAAGTGCCTTAATGGGAATGTGCTGCTGAGTACTTAATGGTCTTTACTGGCTTTTTCTCTGTCATTTTGCATAGGACTGTGGTTATCCCTGGGACTCAGCTTGCCTGCCTCTTTGCTGAGCCCACATTCATCATAGTGTCTCCCTTTAAAGCCCTTTAAAGATGATTCTCTTGCTTCACTGCGGATGGGCTTTAGTAATGCTGCTGTGGAGATCTTAAAACTCCTGCAGTATTGCTTCTCCTCTCATTCTTCACAGGTTGGGAGAATCTCCCTTTAATTTTACTCCCACCTCAAAATTTTATAGTGTAAGACATGAAAAGTTGAATTTAGATTCAACTTTTAGATTTAGATTTTTCTTGGAGGCAAAGATAATAGGATTCCTTCTTTCGCATTTGGTTTTCCTAGTTACAGAGGAACAATAAAGCAAGTTGTCCTAAATGCTGTATTAAAACTCTTGACCCTCAGCATGCCCAGATAATATAAAAATAGTGCAAGATAATGTCAAAAAAAATCCCAGCACTTTGGGAGGCTGAGGCAGGAGGATCACTTGAGCCCAGGAGTTGGAGACCAGCCTGGGCAACATAGGAAGACCTTGCTTCCTCTACTAAAAGTTAAAAGAAAAAAACAACAACAGGCATGGTACATGCCTCGAGTCCCAGCTACTTGAGGCTCTGAAATGGGAGGAACATTTGAGCCTGAAAGTTTGAAGTTGCAGTGAGCCATGAACATGGGTGATAGAGCAAGATCCTGTCTCAAAAAAAAAAAAAAAAAAAATGTATATGTGTGTGTATATAATCTAATTCTAATATATAGAATTAGATTGTGATTCTTAATCTGTCCCAAATGGTTAAGATATGAGAATTGAGATGTTCAGGAAATGGAGTTTTGGAGGAAGGGTGAAAACACAAACAAAATTTATCCATTTTGCTAAGGTACCTGGTTGAATACTAAGCCCCTAATTGTTTTATTTTATTTATGTTTAAAAACAAATTCTTTTTTTTAGTCAGGGTGTTGTTTTGTTACCCAGACTGGAGTGTAGTAGTGTAATCAAAGCTCACTGAAGCCTTGACCTCCCAGGCTTAAATGATCCTCCCAGCTCAGCCTCCTGAGTAGTCTTAACTACAGGTGTGCACCACCATGCTTGGATTATTTATTTATTTTTGAGGTAGGGTCTCATTCTGTTGCCTAGGCTGGAGTGCAGTGGCAGGATCTTGGCTCACTGAGATCTCCACCTCCCAGGCTCAAGTGATTCTCCCACTTCAGCCTCCCGAATAGCTGGGACTACAGGCATGTGCCACCATACTCAGCTGATTTTTGTATTTTTGTAGAGATCAGGTTTCACTGTGTTGCCCAGGTTGATCTTGAACTCCTAGACTCAAGTGATCTGCCCCCCTCAGCCTCCCAAAGTGCTGGGATTACAGGCATGAGCCACCGTGCCTGGCCCTCATTCTTTTTATTATTTGTAGAGACAAGAGTGTGCTGTGTTGTCCAGTCTGGTCTCAAACTCCTGGTCTCAAGCAGTCTTCCTGCCTTGGCCTTCCAAAGTGCTGGATTACAGGCGTGAGCCACCACGCTCAAGCCTAAGCCCCCAATTGCATTTGTTTCATCAGTTCTTTACTCAGCAGCTACTTAATGGCTAGCAGTGCATTGAGGGCTTTAATTATGATAAAAGAGCTCTTGTTTTTGAAGAATTAATGAGAAAGAAAAACATTCACATGGGTCCATTAATAGTTGGTGTTGGTGAGTGATAAAATGCCAAAATTGGTTATGCTGACAAATGCTGTAGGAGGCTGGTGTGGCTGGGGTTGGAGGGCCCTCATGAAGCATGAGGAAAATTTGGAATCATGGAAAAAGAAGAGAATATCATTAGTAAGGCAAAGGAATGATGTCCTGAGTACGTCCTATGAGTGGAACAGAAAAGAGACAAGTCACTGAAATGGAGGTATTGTGTTATAGCTGAAGTATGGGTCCTGATCATGAAAAATCATACAGTACAGCCTGAGGACTTGGAACTCTATGAGGAGAATGAAATGATGAACAGTATTTTAGCCTTAGGAATCAGGACAGGACTGCTGAGGTTTATTTGGGTACTCACTAGCATCCACAGATAATTCTGGCCTTCAGGATCAGAAGGCATAGAAATCGTTGTGGAAAAATGTTAACCTGAATCTTTTCTTGCATCTTTTCCTAGAACAAGCTTTCTGATTTGTTGGCACCCATCTCAGAGCAGATCAAAGAAGTAATAACCTTTCGGGAGAAGAACCGAGGCAGCAAGTTGTTTAATCACCTGTCAGCTGTCAGTGAAAGCATCCAGGCCCTGGGCTGGGTGGCTATGGTGAGTACCACAGATTCCTGGGCTAGGGGTGGGTATAGACTGTAAGAGGGAAGGCAGTATGGTTGGAGAGGTCCTGAGTCACTGACAGCATCTCTCTTTCTAGGCTCCCAAGCCTGGCCCTTATGTGAAAGAAATGAATGATGCTGCCATGTTTTATACAAACCGAGTCCTCAAAGAGTACAAAGATGTGTAAGTTCAGCCTTTTATTTTCTTTTCTTTCCTTTTTTTTTTTGAGACAGTGTCTTGTGTTGTCACCCAGGCTGGAGTGCAGTGTGCACAGTCACAACTCACTGCAGCCTCAACCTCCCAGCTCAAGCAATCCTCAGTCCCCCAAGTAGCTAGGACTTCAGGCACACTCCACCATGCCTGGCTCATTTTTTAATTTTTTTGTAGCGATGAGGTCTCACTGTTTCCCAGGGTGGTCTCTAATGATTCTCCTGCCTTGGCCTCCCAAAGTGCTGGGATTACAGGTGTGAGCCACTTTGCCCAGCCAAGTTCAGCCTTTTCTCAAGGGGTAAAGGATAAACCCAGTTGGTTACTTGCTGGAGTAGCACTTTGGAGTTAATGAAGTTAACTCTGGAGTTAACGAAGGCTGCCCTTAGCCACTGTGCTAGTTTTATCTCAGGGCTGCTTTCTGGAGAGCTTTACAGATACTGGCTCATAGCTGCATTTGCACAGGAAATGTTTCTGCTTCCACTTCTGCTTTCTATCCTTTGTTGATAGAGGCCCTTTTAGTCTTCTGATCCTTACCCTTCCGGGTTTAGGAAGTTTTGCTGGCAATAACATGAAGTAATGCTCTTTATATAAGATTTTGTTTTTTTGTTGAGAATTTGTTATTGACCCAGTGGCAAAGGGTTCAGTAGGACTTAATAGAAATTTTTCATGCAGTCAGTTAAAGTGAGAGTAAGGCTGCCTAGCCAATGCAGGTATTAAGAGGGTAGCCATTGTATGTCTACCCACATATGTCTACCAGTCCTGACTTCTCCATTGCTGGTTTTGAGCTGAAATGATTACAGACAAAATTTATTAAGTTGCATATCTACCCAACCCCTTCCTTTCTTCAGTCCTTCATCAAGCAACAACCATTTATTGAGTAACTACTCTGTGTAAGGAATACTACACTTTCCTGTGAGTGAAATGTGTCCTGGAACAACAGGCACTTCATTATCCTTCTAGCAATGTGGAATTAAACATGACAGTGTTTTCATATATCCCACATTACCCCATCACTTTACAGTTGAGGAAACTAGGTCTTAGGTTAAATAACCTTCCCAGATAATATACAAGAAGAGAGGGGGCTTGAACCATAGGTACAGTGCTATTTCTAAAATTTAATGCTAATTGTTTCCTCCTAAAGTTTTTAAGTTTGCTTTTGGTGGGGGTGGGCATCCTTTGATATAAGGCACTATCTCATAAGGCAGTTAAGTTTCTTAGTCTTAAGAACGTAGAGTTCCAGTGATACCTAAGAGCTCTCCTCTCTACCAGAATGTCTGCTTTTATCAGTTTTACATATTAGGTTGTGTTTAAGGTCTGCTTTGAAAAAGGTTTCGATAAGCAGCAGTGGTCAAAAGAAAAAAAGAAAAAGGTTTTGGTACTTACAACAGTTTGAGAAACATTGCTCTGAGAGACAGAAAGAGATAGAATCCAGACTCTCTATCCTAGTGGAGTTTGGTCTGATTAGGGTAATAGACTAGGCTATATATACATAGAAGCTTGTGATGAGAGAAAAGCTGCCATTGAGCAGAGCCTAGGAAACACCAAAGATAGAAGAATGTGAGCTCATAGGAAAGAAGGGTCTGGAATCACCATTGTAATGTACCCTGACCACCTGTGACAAGTTCTTCTTTAATCCTCCCAGGGATAAGAAGCATGTAGACTGGGTCAAAGCTTATTTAAGTATATGGACAGAGCTGCAGGCTTACATTAAGGAGTTCCATACCACTGGACTGGCATGGAGCAAAACGGTTAGTGAACCTTTCCTCCTTCCCTCCCTCCTACTCTTTCTCTCTCCAGGGTGGGGTCCACAGGTATCTTAGACTTGAGCACTACCAAAGTCTGTGAAGAAATGCTAGTTTTTTCAGTGGAGGGGAGAAAGAAAGGGAAAAAAAGAATAAAGGAAGCAAGGATCAGAGGAGAAAGAATATTCAGTGGTATTCAATTTCAATAAACAGGTCAGGGACAGTGATTGATGCTGGGTGGGCAGACACACACAAATGAGTTGTACTGTCCCAGCCTAAGGAGCTTAAAAATACAAATGAAAACCCCCAGTACAAATCACCAAGGCAAATGCTCTAATAAAGATACAGACTCTAGAGTATGAGGAAGAGAAGAGTGCTTCTCACTAGGAGAGATTGTGCTTTGAAGGTGTATACTCTTCTGTGAGACTTGACGGAAGTGTAGGGCAGTGAGAAGTGGGATACTGCAAAGGCAGAGCTTAAAAATAAATGCAGACTAAATGTAGAGATTGGTCATCTCTGGCTTTAATAAGGGGAAATGGTCAGATTTTTTTTGGAGAAAAGGCTGGAAAGGAAGGTAGGCTGAGACTTTGGAATGAGGTAGTTGAGCAAGGGAGTGATGATCCAATATGTCTTTAAAAGAGTCTCGGTATATAGGTTAGGGATAAGGACTCATGCTCAGATTATGAAAGTGATCGTGGTGTTTGGGGGATAGCAGAAAAAATTTGCAGGAGATAGCACCAAGATAATAGAAAGATTTGATAAGGCTGCAGTAGTTGGAATCCTCAAAGAAGATTGAATAGTCTTGGATGGTAACGTCTTTCACTGAACTAGAGACAAGGGGATGATTATACAGGGAGGGGAGCAGACAGGAAATGATGAAATCAGTTCCAAACCTGTTGAATCTGAGGTACTGGTAACACACAAAGGAATATGTCAACTAGATTTATGGAAATAGTTTTTAGAGCTGGAATCAGGTGAGGTCAAAGACAAAATGTGATGGTCAAGAAATAGAACTGAGAGCTGGATCCTTGGGTAAGGATGAGAAGGCATAAAGCCAAGTTGGGTATGGGTAGGATGCATTAATCATTGCCTGAAAGGCTGTAGTGGGTACCCTATGTGCACTGGCCACATGTAGGGCGCTACTGGGGATGGTATAGAGGGGAAGAAAGGATGACGATGTTACCTGCACTTATCATTCCAGGGGCCCGTGGCAAAAGAGCTGAGTGGACTGCCATCTGGACCCTCTGCTGGATCAGGTCCTCCTCCCCCTCCACCAGGCCCCCCTCCTCCGCCAGTCTCTACCAGTTCAGGCTCAGATGAGTCTGCTTCCCGCTCAGCGCTGTTTGCGCAGATTAATCAGGGGGAGAGCATCACACATGGTGAGTGAGCGCTTTGACGCGATCAGTCAGTACAGCAAATTGTGTGAGCCAGACTCCACCAACCAGAACCCAACAGCTAGTGTACAAACCACAACCCTGGCTTGTGTGTGGGGGACTCATTCGCTGTGTCCTGATCCTTTAAGGGACAGCAAAGCTGGCTTAAATGGAAATTGAAAATGATGATCACAGTTAGAGGAAGCCCTCTGCCCCATGGGAAAGTGACTTAATATTAGGTAGCATATATAAAGTACACTCTTGTGCCAAGGCACAGAGCTGGCAGTTTTCCCCAGAGCTTTTTCTGTGGCACCACGTGGCTTCTGGGAAGGCATTGTGTTAGGGAGTTAACTTCCTCAGAAGATGCATATTGATTACATGGAAAATTTGCATAAGAGTGACCTAATGTTGGTACAGAGAAAGTAGATACCCTTAACACAGCTGGTAGAAGTCTGAGTTGTCCAGCCCACTTCTAGGAATCCACCTACAAAAATAACTGAAGAAGTTTTGTACAGTATTATTCATAGTAGCTAAAAATGGTGTAACCTAAATCCAACAGTAAGAGAAATGGTTAACTACCACATGTCCTCTTGATGAAATGTTACGCCACCATTACGTTTTTTTTCTACAGTGAACCATGTAATATTTAAGAAAAAAATTAGTATGTAAATTACAATCACAAGGAATAGTAGAGATTAAAAGGCCATTCGGTATTGGTTATATAGTTAACATAGATCAGGCCATGTTCAAAGCAAGGTGTGTGTCAGCCTGCTGTGGGAGATTATGGATTATTTTTCCCTTAAAACATAAAAGAAATATATTTTTACTTTTATTTTCTATTTTTTTTTTTTTTTGAGACGGATTCTCACTTGGTCGCCCAGGCTGGAGTGCAGTGGCGTGATCTCGGCTCACTACAACCTGTGCCTCCTGGGTTCAAGCAATTCTCCTGCCTCAGCCTCCTAAGTAGCTGGGATTACAGGTGCACACTGCTAGATCAGCTAATTTTTTTGTACTTTTAGTAGAAACTAAAAATACACCATGTTGGCCAGGCTGATCTCAAACTTCTGACTTCAGGTGATCCACCTGTCTCGACCTCCCAGTGTGTTGGAATTATAGGCGTGAGTCACCATGCCTGGCCTAGAAAGCTATTTTTAGAAACTACAGGTTAACGTGAGAAAGTTTTTAAGTGTCAGATGGTTGAACCAAATTTGTTAATATATGATTATAATCAACAAAACCAAATATATAGAGAAAATGATATTGTAGAGCCACAAATGCCAAAACTGACTGGGGGGGTGGGGGAAGTAGAGTTAGTTGTGCACAGTGAGAGTTTTTTTTTAAGTTTTACTGTCACTTATTTTTCCTTCCTTATTGTTTTAGAAACTACATATTTGTCCATATATGATAGGTCTTTCTAGATCTTTCTCTGTTCATTTACATATCCTTATCCCCACCCACAATAGACATACATATTCCATGTTGTTTTTAATGGAACCATATAATTTAACCTTGGGGAGAAAAGAAATTAGAAAAGAACTTCTCCAAAACTGCTTGCAAGAGAACATCTTTAAGGCTCTGGTTTTTGGCTTTGAATTTTCTGTTAAGGATCTTTAACATGATGATAGCAGAAGCTGGTTATTATTCAGCTCAAAGGTCTAGTATGAAGGACAGGAACAAGGTAGCTGTTGTTCTTACAGCCCTGAAACACGTATCTGATGACATGAAGACTCACAAGAACCCTGCCTTGAAGGCTCAGAGTGGTCCAGTACGCAGTGGCCCCAAACCATTCTCTGCACCTAAACCCCAAACCAGCCCATCCCCCAAACCAGCCACAAAGAAGGAGCCAGCTGTACTTGAACTGGAGGGCAAGAAGTGGAGAGTGGTGAGTTAGAAATACCTGGACTGGGGCAGGTATTTTCATTTACTTATTTTTTTGAGACAGTGATTTTGTCACCCAGGCTGGAGTGCAGTGGTGTGATCTCTGCTCACTGCAACCTCCGTCTCCTGGGGACAAGGAGTAGGAACGGGATTAAATGGAGCTTAGCTAGATGAGGGCAGAGTTCTGGCTTTAATTACAAGAACAAAAAGTTTGGGACAGCCTGCTTTTTTTGTTGTTGTTCAGTGTGTGGTCTGTGATGAGAAACCTGGGATATCTCTTTAATAGGAAAATCAGGAAAATGTTTCTAACCTAGTGATTGATGACACGGAGCTGAAACAGGTGGCTTACATTTACAAGTGTGTCAACACGACATTGCAAATCAAGGGCAAAATTAACTCCATTACAGTAGGTGAGTCCTTGTCACTATTCCATGAAAGCTCTGTCCCAGAACCCAAGAGGGCTAATACCACTTTAACCTACCCTAGTCTTAAAGATTCTTAAATATATATTACGTGACTTGTTCCCTTTCTTCTCCTAGATAACTGTAAGAAACTTGGCCTGGTATTCGATGACGTGGTGGGCATTGTGGAGATAATCAACAGTAGGGATGTCAAAGTTCAGGTAACTCGATAATTTGGCTCCTTCCTTTAGTCCCTGAGGAATTAATTGAAAGAGACATGGCAGACCCACAGATGTTGCATTAGTGGGAATCTGATTCTACAAAGGCTGTAAGCTGAGCTGCTTTGGATGTGGCAGAAGAGAGGTTGGCTCTACAAGCGAGTTCTTTCCAGGACCCATCCCACCCCACCCAAGTATCCAGTGTCTTGTGCACCTGTGAGCTTTTCATGTAGTTGCTGAGTCACGTGAAACAGGAAAGCTTTTCCTGCAACTTTCTGTTGTCCTCCCCAATGGCTGGGACTCAGTTCTCTTGGTTTACTCCGCAGGTAATGGGTAAAGTGCCAACCATTTCCATCAACAAAACAGATGGCTGCCATGCTTACCTGAGCAAGAATTCCCTGGATTGTGAAATAGTCAGTGCCAAATCTTCTGAGATGAACGTCCTCATTCCTACAGAAGGCGGTGACTTTGTAAGTTTCTTGATCTCTTTAGTAGTATGATATTAAAAACAGAAGGAACTGAAGATTTTTTGCCTTGGAGAAAGCTATTTTATGAACATTCTGCACTGAGTAGGTAAAAACCCAATAATGCACACCAAAAGCACACAGAAGTGAGGTAGTCCAGTGTAGTGGAGCTCCAGAGGGAAGGTGGTTTCTGCCGAAATGGAGCTCGAGGTAGCAAAAAAGAATGGGGATGAGCCATGGCACCTTGTCAAGCTGGTACTATAAGGCCATATGTACTATTATCTACACCCCATAGACTTAATAGTCTGTCCAAGATCCCAGATCACTGAACACTAGAACACGGTGTGGCTCTGTGGCTTTTCTTCTAGTACATCCTTCCCTGCTGCTGGAGTTAAGTGAAAGCAAGCATTGGGAGAGACATGTGAGATTTAGCCCCAGCTCTTCTTTAGCTTGGATTTAAACCTGCTGTCTCTTCTTTATTTGCAGAATGAATTCCCAGTTCCTGAGCAGTTCAAGACCCTATGGAATGGGCAGAAGTTGGTCACCACAGTGACAGAAATTGCTGGATAAGCGAAGTGCCACTGGATTCTTTGCCCTCCCTTCACACCATGGGATAAATCTGTATCAAGACGGTTCTTTTCTAGATTTTCTCTACCTTTCTGCTCTTAAAACTGCTTCTCTGCTTTGAGAAGCACAGCTACCTGCCTTCACTGAAATATACCTCAGGCTGAGATTTGGGGTGGGATAGCAGGTCAGTTGATCTTCTGCAGGAAGGTGCAGCTTTTCCATATCAGCTCAACCATGCCACCAGTCCATTCTGAAGGAACTGCCAACCAGGACTGATGATACATTTTAGCTTTGAGCTTTTGGGGGTTATTCTACCAACAAACAATCCATTGAAAAGAAAAGAGTCCCAGGAATTAACAGATCAGAATGTTCACACTGGTTATTTTTTTTTTTTTTTTTAGTATTTGTTCTGCTCAATGGTTAATCTTTTTCTAACAATGAGCATGAAGATAGCAGAAGCTGGTGTGTTTCCAGATGGTTCTTCTAACCAAACTAATTTTTTACTGTTGACAAGTGAGGCAAGGGTTGCACTGGACCAAAAGCTGAGGCTTGGCCATCTAGCATTCCACGCAAAATTGTTGCCTATAAGCATTCCTTTTATTCTCTATTCCATCCTGGGTCTGCCTCAACCATGACATAGGAGAGTCTCCGGTACTAGCTGCTGTGGCAGTGCTCTCACCCAGGGCAGTTAAACGAGCCTTGGACCCTTTCTTTCTCTGGGATTCCTGTCCAGCACCTTCTTACAGAGATGACTTAAAAGGAAAAACACACCATTCCAAGAAGTCTGGCATTCCTGAATCCTCCTTCCCTGCTAGGTGCCTGTCACCTGTCTTCACTGCCTCCTTTTCCCTGTCATGCTCATCAGCTATGGCTTCTGTCCAAGCACCTGAACAGAGGACTGAAACCTCCACTGCAGGCTGGTTTTAGGTCTTGATTTATGTAAGAATCTTGCACAGCACTGCTAATGTAAAGTTCAGTTTTTTCCCTCTAGGACAAACACCAAAATATGCAACTTTTTTTGGTGGGAAGAGAGATTGTCCTGTGATTTCTACCCATTTCCTGAGGCCTGTGGAAATAAACCTTTATGTACTTAAAGTTATACAGAAAATAGAATAAAGTTAATACTAAACTTGCTTAGTTGTTTACCTGTGATACTGGCTGTACAGAAATATAAAAAATGTTGAAAAGAAAAATAACACCAAGGATAAGAAACTACTCTTTATTTTAGACAACCTCATAAAATTATTTTCACATTTCCCTACTTCTTGCTCTTAATCCTCATCATTTAGTTGAAGAATAAGGCCTGAGAGAGAGAAAAGAAAACCATAATGGGTACACTTATCAGCACCAACGCCATTCTTTCATCAAGGCTTAGCTCATCGTTTCTCCAAACTAGCATTCCACAGAAATGTCTTCCAAAAAGCATTAAGTTTTCACAGAGTGGGGACTATGACTTCCATGCTCAAATAGTGCAGGAAATGGTAGATTAAGTTAGTTTTGTTTACTGTAACAGGAATTCTCAGAGTCCTTAGATTATGGGTTGATCTCCAGAAGGAGAAAGGGAGTATGTAGTATTTTCCAAGCTTTTTCAGCAAACAATTCTTTTCTCACAGAATACATCAGAAACAGTTTGGAGTATGCTGGTAAATATGTTTTGGGAATGGAAGTTAGAAAGCCTGATCTTTTTTCATATGGTTCCTTCCATTCTCTGCTAAAGCCAGCAACACAGTAGTTAACTCTAGCATCGAGACCACTAGTCATATTAAGAAAGGGCAGGTTGGTCAAGAATGGAATAGGAAGAACTAGCTGCCTCACTTTTCACTTTCATACCTACATTTTCCTCACTCCCTATCTAAGTTCTACAAGATGTACATTTCCTCTCTTAAGCAACTTAATGGGGTGCTACTTCCCTCCTTTTGTGACAAAGCAACTAATTCATCACTACCTGAGGAGACAAAGGGGTGGTGCAGAAGCAAGACTATAGGCCAGTGGGATTTGTCTAATAATTGATAAGATGATAGCACAGAGCAACATACTCAGAGAGGAAGGCAGCCTAAGAAATTATGCAGAAATAGCCAAGCAAGACTTCCAAGCACTGGTTAAGTCACCAGCAAAAAAAAGCATTTATGTGAGTACCTCAGGCCTGGGTACCCCTTTGCTTGAAATATGGCAAGACCTGGAAAAATGTTTGCCCTTAGAATCTATCTCATTGCTTTAATTAGTTGTCTCCTTTGGACCTGTGCACAGTTCTGGCATTGATCTGCACCAGTTTTAGTTTTTCTAAAACTGAGCTTGACCACATGAAAAGTTTGTAAAACAATCTCCATGGTAATTAAACTTGCATTCAACACCATATGGTGATAGAAGACAGCAAAGGATAAGATTCAGATCTTAGATCTTTCCAAGTAGGGCGTGTTAGATGATGATAAAAGGATTAGTTGCAAGCTGGATCTGAGCTCAGGCTTGGGCATGAAGGAAACTGTCTCCCACATGGTTTGGAAGAGTTAGGGGCTCCCTGAGCTCTATCGTGAACTGTGCGGGTTTCATTCAAGGAATGGTATGATGTGGGCATAAAACCATTCTTCAGACAGCTGAAGATGGTCCCCTTCTGTAGCTAGAAACACTAGCTGTCCTGCTTTGTCCATTTCCTTTAGCCCCAGGCGGTCCTGCAGAGGGAAAGGCCATAATTAGTCAAAAAGCTTAAGTTTTGGAGTAAATACATATGTTAACTTGAGATATATTGTCAAAATGCAGTATGTCCTGAGCATAAAAATTGAGGTTTATTTTCAAAAAATGCCAAAAAGGATCTCTCCCAGTTTTTTCTAAGTATTAAAAATATATATGCAATTGAGAATGCTCCATACAGAGTTCTAGATTCTGCTTTTTGAAAAGCTGCTCAGTCAGAAGACTACCGATACATGGGCAAGCCATGGACAATACTCCCTCAGGATGCCACAGGTAAGTGGGACTGAGCCAAAGCTAGGTAACTTAACAAACATATCCAACCCTTAGGTAACAAACCCTGGGACACTTTCATATTCTGCAGTTGAAAACATCATTACCCATAGCCTAGGTGCTGGAGAACAACTTCTGGTTGGGAAGATAAGCAGTTATGACAGTGCCAGAATGGTGCTTCTGCTGTGGCCAACATCATGTTGAGTTTCACAATAAGGACACATTCTTAGCTGTAATTTCTCAAACCTTTTTTTTATTTTCTTTTTTTTTTAATCAGATCCCAGCTTCCCTGTTTATTTCACCACCCAAGTTGAGGCACCCAATGTAAAAGAAAAGCTGAGAGGAAACAAATGGCCTCTGAAATAATATGGAGGAATTATAGTAGAAGGTGATTGTTTCAGATGTAGTATTATGTATTTTGGAGAGTCTGTCTCCAATATAAAATCCTTAGGGCCAGGCGCGGTGGCTCACGCTTGTAATCCAAGCACTCTGGGAGGCTGAGGCAGGCAGATCACCTCAGTAAGGAGTTCCAGACCAGCCTGGCCAATATGGTGAAACCCCATCTCTACTAAAAATACAAAATATTCAGCACGGTGGTGTGTGCCTATAAGCCTAGCTACTTAGTGAGGCCGATGCAGAAGAATCACTTGAACCTGGGAAGCAGAGGTTGCAGTGAGCTGAGACAGCACCATTGCACTCCAGCCTGGGTGACAGAGCAAGACTCTGTCTCAAAAAAAAAAAAAAAAAAGAAATCCTTAAAGTGTGGAAGGCCCCAGAACTGGAGGTGGTGAAATACTGCAACTTCTGCTTAAGAAACAGGACCTATTGCTAAACAAAACTCACAACTCTAGTCCCGCTCAACCTCCTGCAGGAGCTTCCCTTGTCAATGCATAATTTACAAAAAGGATTTCACATCTATTAATGTTTAAAAGTAACCCCCTGGTTAGGAGTTAGAGACCAGTCTGACCAGCATGGAGAAACCCAGTCTCTACTAAAAATACAAAATTAGCTGGGCGTGGTGGCGCATGCCTGTAATCCCAGCTACTGTGGAGGCTGAAGCAGGAAAATCACTTAAACCCAGGAGGCAGAAGTTGCAGTGAGCTGAGATCATGTCACTGCACTCCAACCTGGGTGACAAGAGTGAAACTCTTGTCTCAAAAAAAACACAGTAACACCCCATTGGCCAGGCGCAGTGGCTCATGCCTGTAATCTCAGCACTTTGGGAAGCCCAGGCAGGTGGATCACCAGGCCGGCCATGACCATCCTGGCCAATGTTTCCACAACCCCATCTCTCCTAAAAATACAAAAATTAACCGGTGGCATGCACCTATAATCCCAGCTACTAGTGGGGCTGCGGCAGGAGAATTGCTTGAACCTGGGAGGCAGAGGTTGCAGTGAGCCAAGATTGAGGCACTGCACTCCAGCCTGGATGACAGAGCGAGACTCCATTTCAAAAAAAAAAAAAAAGGAATGCCCCTATGTTTTCGTCATGCATGGAGGCTTCCTGGATTTGTAGTGGCCTGCACCTCAGCAAAGGCAGCTAGTTTTAAACCTTTTTATCAAAAGGAGGGAATCAGAGATGAGATTTTTGTTGTTCTTGCTTGGAAACCATAAGGCTATAGTCAGGATGTAGTGGATTTCTGTAACCCAGTGCCTGATAAGCTAGAGCAACAATCAAGAGCCTAACAAGCTTTACCCATACTGGACATGAGTCAGGTGTTTCACGAGTGCCTAGTGCTCTGAGGTGTGCCAGGCAGGGCTCAAACACCACAGAACCTAGCAGCTTCAGGAGCTGGGAGCTGAAAAAGACAGCACCAACCTCCCAAAACAGCCTTCTCCATGCCGGTTACCTGTGTGTACAAGGTTGTCTCCTGTAAGGGAATGGTTTCCTTGGCTTGGCCACTTCTGTAAAATCCAAACCACTGCAGGAGAGACATAAGAAATAAGATCAGATCAGACACACAGCACATACTGCCAAAATAATTTGAGACTGGTTAGAAGCTAAGACTGCCAACAAAGTGAACCTCATAAAGCTATAGCAAGAAGGAAAAATGGATAGGGTGTGTCTGAGTCATCTGATGAATTAATCTTTCCAAGGGGCTGCTTTCCACTCCCCCAGAATTTCTCCTTCCCACATTTATTAAGCACTAAATGTGAAAAACTCCTGTGCTGAGCTCTAGACATTCAAGGATGTATATATAATCTGTTTCCAAAAAGCTTCCAGTCTAACAAGGCACAGAAGCAATTCACCATTGTGCACAGAGGTCAGCAAACTTCTATAAAGGCCAGATAGAAAATATTTTAGGCTTTAAGGGCCACATGGTTGCAACTACTCACTGCTGCCACTGTAACAAAAGCAGCCACAGACAATATGTAAAAAGTAACTAAAACTGTGTTCCAATGAGGGCCCTGAAATTTCAATGTTACATAATGTTTCCATGTCAAAATACTTATGTCGAAATAAATTTTACATAATCTTTATATGTCAAGTTCTTTCCCCCAACCATTAAAAAATGTAAAAACTATTCTTCACTTGTGGGCCACACCAAAACAGGTAGCAGGATGGACTTGGCTTGTGGGCCACAATCGGCCAACCTCTGGTGGTGTGACATAATGTGATGAGTGTTCTAACAGAGGCTGATGATTCTACAAAAGGGATTACATTCTGGCTGGTTGTGGTGGTTCACGCCTGTAATCCCAGCACTTTGAAATCACGAGATCAGGCGTTTAAGACCAGCCTGGACAATGTGGTAAAACCCTGTCTCTACTAAAAATACAAAAATTAGCCAGGTATGTTGGCAGGCACCTGTAATCCCAGCTACTTAGGACGCTGACGCAGGAGAACTGCTTGAACCCAGGAGGAGAAGGTTGCAGTGAGCTGAGATCGTGCCACTGCACTCCAGCCTGGCTGACAGAGCAAGATTCTGTCTCAAAAAACAAACAAACAAAAGGGATCCCATTCTTCTTGGAATGGGATGGCATCCTGGCCTTGACAGATGAATAGGAATTGTCAGGTGGAGAAGCCAAGGAAGGGCATTCTAGAGACAGAAAAGCATGAACAACGGCATACGAGAGAAAAAGCACAAGTAGTACCATGTGGCTTGATCAAGAGTATATGAAGCATGCAGACAAGGAAGATTAGGCTGAAAAACAGGGCAAAGCCAGATTAAGGCAGACC